TATATAAAAATACCTATGGTTTTTGTAGTAGCAATTCAGGGAAGTAAAGGTTACTTCCAAAAAATTTCATTATTATTCTATGATTTGCAGCAAATGTTGATGCTACAACAAGCATTCATGCTCTTTATAGGGAATTTTTTACAGTTGTTTGGTTGTAGAGAAAAATAAGATCTGGGACCCAGAAGTCCCAAGCACATTGACCATGTACATACTTCATATTCAACCACAACTTACACTTACAAACATTTGTTTGATTACACAAAAGCCATGGTAACTGACAATACAGACTTACAGTATAAGCAAGCACTAACTTAGAGAACCATTAATCATTTAGAATTAAAAAATAAATAGGCATAAGTCACATTCTACAAAAACAGCTTGATTTAGTAACGAAAATTTCTTCCCCCCATAAAAAAAGGGAAAAAATACTTAGGACATTCATAAGCATACCTACTATCACAAGAAAAATAGGGGAAAAAAATATTCTTAACACAGTGGACATTCTACTTATACAGTTTGAAGGCCAATCCTAAAATGCACACTTTTCTTAGTATTCCATTAAGGAGAAAAGATGGAGGGGAAATAAATTTCTCTTTTAATATTTCAGAAAAAGGAATGTAGGAAATAGTTGTGTTTATTGGAGGGTTTTATTTTGATTCAGCCTGCTTGTAGGACTGTTCCTTCAGTCCTCCATAAGCACATTTGTTCTTCTAACACAGAATTTGCTTCTTTCAAAAGCTAGCACCACCTTTTTATTAACCCTAAAGGACTAATCAGAGTAAAACTCCTCAGCCCTGGTAGATAACATTTGTCAGGGCTGCAAACAGTCATTGGCTTGTGACTGACAGCACAGAAAGCTCTTAAAAAAAAAAAAAATCAGAACTTTCTACAGAACCACATAATTCGGCACCTTCTGCCTGTTAGGACTACCTTGGCTAAATTACTGAAAACAGCAAGACAACATTTGGATATTGTTATGTTCATTGTATCCTTCGAAGAGATGTTAACTGCAGTTTGTGGCTCAGGAAGAATAATGAAATCATCCCCAGGCATCAAACTTCTCTCTTGGACAGGGTTAGTCTTCATCTAAAACAAAAATTTCATTAGGCAATTATGAACACATACATTACTTTCTCCTATGTTAAAACAGGAAAAAACTTGACCTACACTTGACAATTTTGCCAAGAAAAGGAAAACCTACTTTACCTCCTGTATCTCAGACATCTTACACAAACACGGAAATTTTATACCACCATTGAAGGCAAGCAAGTTATTTTCTTTCCTCTGTATGTGTGGTTACACACTACATTTTGCCCATGCACTGGACAATTAACATAATTCAGAAAAACCTTAAGATGTCTAAGGACTCATTATTTTTTTTTCATGTGAAATTGCACAGCTCCTTCAAAGCAACAGCATTTGCAAGGTTAATGTTCTGTCACACAAAACTTTTAAGATATAGCTGTCTATTCAAACTATTTCACATAGTTTCAAGTATGTTTACATACTTCCAGCTTTAAACTCCATTGCTTCTTTCCTCCTTCAATTCGTTCAATAAGTGGCTCCCACACTGCATAGGTTTCATTGTAATAATGAATCTAAAGAAAGAATCAAAATTAAATCAGGCATCTAAAAATAAAGGACTGAGTTCCTTCCAATAGCATTTAGCACAAAAAAAACATTAATAAGAAAACAATCAATCTTCATTTCACGTTTTGGAGGTCTAGCATTAACTTTTAATGGCTTCAAAAATTAATACACAGAAGTGTAAAATATCATACATTTTTCTTAAGTGACATCATTTTTGAAGAACTGACTACCTGGCTTGCTTTTAGAGCAACCAGACAGCCTGGTAACTCCGTATCTTTTTAACACCTTCACTTAATATAATGCAGTCTCTATCCTCTCCTACATTGTTTGAGAGAATGTCTTTGAGATCAAAAACTTCAATGCTCCAAGTACTTCATTGCACTATGAAATAACAATTAGTCTGAGCAAACTTTAGTCTGAAGCTGGTCCACTGGGCCAATTCGTCTAACTTACAGCCTACACCAAGTTTTTACTTCCCTTCGGCCATTGCAAATCTGAACAGAAGCTGTGGACCAAATAGTCCTGGACGCTCCCTTTCAGCTATCTTCCTCATCCCTCCCCTCTGCTGGAATCACAGTGCCTCCCCTCAGTTGTATATGATTAGGCATGCATCTTCCATACTCTATTACGATATGCACATCTAGCAATGCAAGACAGCTACTTGTATATCCAGTACAGAATGGAGGATGAGGCATATTTGGTAAACTGACAAAATATAACTAAAATGTAGTTAACCTATTGCACAGAGCAGCTGCACATCTGGTTGCATGACATTTTAACATGCTGCCTCCATAAGAGACTTATACCATCTCGGAATTTACCATAACTTGGTGAAAAGAGTTGCAACAGTAAGTTGCATACACAAGTATGGTGTAATTACGAGATGCAGAGAAGATTTTGAGAAAAGAGTGTAACTTCTATCTTACCAATAAACACAATTCTAGAGAAACAAAAAAAGGTGGGCAATTAGAGTTAAATATGAATATTCAACTAAGCCAAGCTCATTGTTCATACAGCAAAAAGTAAATATGCAAAAATAACAGAGAAAGGACTAGATTATTCCACAGTAGCAATTGCCATTAAAATCTGCTATTGATTGCAAAGTTTCTGTAAAAAACACATTATGCTTAGTCATACTTGCCTGACTACTAAAGAACTCTTAAGAGCATTACAATTTAAACCGATTATTAATTTAGCACATAGAAAGTGTACTAAAAAGTTATTTGAACATTACAAAGTGTACAGAAGCGTTTTAAACCGCTAACAATTTGATTCTACATACCTCCAGTGACATATCAGCGGTGACCTCCATCAGCGAGGACCAGTTTTTAAGGACACCTGAAAACATGGATTCTACTAACAATAAAGGGACAGTACGATGTCCCAGACCACATTCCAAGGTGATCTGAACTGATTTCACTACAATGTCAAATTTCTCTTCTTTCAGAACATGTTCACGGTCCTTAAAAGTTTCTGTTGCTTCTGTGGCTACATCAACACCAAGAAACCAAGCACTGCACTGATCTATTGGCTTCACTTGCCACAAATTCTCAGAAACTTCAGTTGCTCCTCTAGAATCCTCCTCTGTTGTTTTGGGTTTTATGGCAGCCATAATGGTCATCACAGTATTCAGAATTATTGGTGAGATCTTGAACAAAGGGAAAAAAAATCCTTTATAGCTCAAAACATTTTAAAACCAATTAACATACAAAATATATGATAAATGGAAACTGCAAATAACTCTTGGGTTCTTCATACAGGTACACAGTATTAAAGGCCCTTATAAGAGGTGCAACTTAAATTCCAAGATAAAGAAACAGAATCCATCCATGGACCTCCTCTTATTTTCCTTTCCTAAAAATTTTCCTAATTCCTCCCTCACAATCCCACAGGCTCAAGAACAAAATTCTCAGACTGGAACTTCACTTTTGCTGATACGCAGTACTCCCATAAGAGCAGTCAATACCAACCTTTTCCCTACTACATTGTAAAACATGAATTTATTTTTACGATCTTCGAGGTGTTCAGAAAAGCATGCTTGCAGAGTTATGTACACCATCATTTCAATCAGCAGTACAGTATATCTGTCAAAAGCTTTATGCTTTAGGAACAATGTACTATTGCTTACAGTTTAAGACTTCATCACTGACCACCTTTTCAGATCACAAATGCAAATTTGTGAACTTTTTATAGGAGAATTAGCAAATTACATTCAAAAAGACCTTTACTATAGACACAATTATTAATTTACCTATTAAGAACAAGATATTTCACATTGTATATAATTCTGGAAATCATGTTAACAGCCTTAAATTTACATGTACTTATGTGCATGCTCCTGCTTATAAGTCTCTCTGAAGAGGAAAATAGTGGTGGTGACAGCAGTGGGAAGGATTGTTTCATAAATTTGGAAGAAACTGGTAGGGGGGAATCCTACTATCTGAAGTATTTAAATCAGTCCTTTTTTGCCAAGAGATTGCCAAAACAAGGAACACGTAATGATTTTTTCCAACACAGAGCAGCTCTAAAAAGGATAAATGCCTACTGCTGGAATTAAACTAATGAGGAAAATGGAAATTTTAAATAGCAATACGTAAATTAAAAAAATCCCAAACTACAACTTGAGAAACACACCTGTTCTTCCAAAGACAGTTTTAATAACCTTACCTTTATAGTAAGTTCTTCTATTGTTACTACCACAGTTTGTAACCCTGAGACATGCATCATATTTTCCATAACCAAAGAACATGGCCGTAACACCTGAGTGAAAAATATGATTTGATTATTAAAGTAACTCCTGGAATCTAACCTTTTCAAATTGGTCTTGTATTTTTTAATCCCATAGGCTAAAGAGCTGCTGATCCCGTAAAATAACAACATGTTTCAGAGTAACAGCATTCTTACCATAGTGTCACTGTGCTTCATTCCAGCACCCAAATTTGCACAAGAGCAATTTTGTACTGGAAGGTCAAAAGTTAGTGAAATAAAAGCTTTTGATGTAAGGCTTAAAACACAGACAAAACAAAAACCTCACCACACAGACAGATGGTATAGTCAAAACCCCCCTGAATGCTTAAGAACACTAAATGCATACGGAAAGATACCATGTGCGAGATGATGGATGGCCCTGCAGAGGGACCTGGACAGGCTGTGTCCAGGAAATGGAGGAAATGGGCTAAAGCTGCGCCAGGGGAGGTTTAGATTGGATATTAGGAAAAATTTCTTTACAGAACGGGTGGTCAAGCATTGGAACAGGCTGCCCAGAGAGGTGGTGGGGTCACCATCCCTGGAAGTGTTCAAAAAACGGGTAGATGTGGTACTTCAGGATATGGTTTAGTCTAGTCTACCCTTGATTGGTTTAGTGTGGACTTGGTAGTGTAGGTTAATGGTTGGACTGGATGATCTTAAAGGTCTTTTCCAACCTAAACAATTCTACGATTCTATGAATCACAGAGGCTACCTTTGTGGCTCAATGCTCCCTGCCCAGAATGAGTAGATGAAGTTCAGACATGCTGATCAGCACACTCTACTGCAACAAGTAAACTGACAGGCAGTAAACAAAGTTGCAGAGATGTATTCTCACATCTTCAAAACACCTCACACAATTTCTTCACTAAGAAACTTCTAATTTAATTTACAAATGCACTACACAGGTTTTAGAGTTCTGTGTGATAAAATCTTGCACCTACTGATAAAAGGTTCACCTTTAAATGACATACCACAGATGCACAGTCCCTTCCTATCTTCGTAATTATTGGTGATAGAAAAACCGAATTTGCTGAGTGCTATGGATATGCCAACTAAAGGACATGCCTGCCAACAGTTCTCATTACTTCTTTTCATTACAAAAATGAGGTTTTCTTACTGTAGTAACACTCTTGTCTTGTTTTTCTTTGAGAAAGGCACAGGCCAACACTTTGAAGCCCTTCACTTGAGCAGTCATCCTTTGTGCAAGCTTTCCAGATGTCAGCGAAAAGTCACACTGGAAGGAAACTTTTAAGGCGGGGGCATTAGCATCAGTCAAATTAGCAACAAATACAATTTCTGGATCCATGATCACAGCCTTTACTGTCATATTTGGCAGTACAGATGTTTCTGTGAAAACAAGTAAAAAAACCCCCTTGAATATAGAAGGTTTGAAAGCATTATTATGCACATAATACCTACATCATGCACAAAAATTACTACGTAATTTGAGAGGTACAAATTTAACAAATAATGTCTCAATTTTTACAGGAATACTTTGCTGAAACTGAGTATCACACAGTGTCCAGAAATCAGCAGCAAACTGGTCAGAAGTTTTGTTTTGAAGAAACTGTTTGTTTTAATATTGTAAAAAGACAGTATTAGCTCTATACACTGTAGTCAACCTGAGCACTGGCTCTACAAAGCCAAGTTGGAAATAGTTATCTTCTGGCTCAATACCTAAAGTAACTAACTTCTTTAGGGTGAAGATTTACTAACTGAAACCAAATGAGCAATATACAATTTCTTTTCTGAATATCCACTCAGTCTCCAAACAGAAGGAGACAATCGTGTTGTATTTATCTCAGTTAAAAGCAAGCCTCTCTAACCTAGTGATGGATCAAGTCACTTTGGTTCTCAGTGCTAGGCAGTATGGTGGTGCGTGACCCTTCTGCACACTAGGACTCATTGTATGGGTTACTCACACCTAACACTTGCTGGAAATATCCGAATACCACACCTATGCAATGGAACAGGGACCAAGTTGAGGCTCAGTACACTACAGAAAAAGCAAAGAAAGCTAGGCATCATGGGTTGGGCAGACCTGAGCCGCCCCTGCAAGTGCCATTTTTCTGGACTGTGTACCACCCCTCCCTCATCACAGGACTCGTGCACATCTCCAACAAGGGAAGAGGACAGCAAGTGAACTGCTGACATCACTAGGGCAATTCATAAAACATAAGGCTTACTCCTAGCACTCTGCCAAGTTCCCCAAAAGAAAGGCAGGGCCGTTTGGAACCAGCTAGAAAACACAACCCACAGATTAGGTCTGACCACAACTCAGGCAAGCCTAGCAATCACTTAAAACCAACAAAAAAAAAAAAAAAAAAAAAAACCTCAAACCCTCAGAAGTGGTCTTTCTCACCATTGTTTCATCATGTTTTACCTTCAGCCTTCAACCAAAAAGAGGAAAGCTGCTCATCAAAAACTTATTTTTCTATAACTGAACTGAAATCATAACCTGTAGTTTCAAAATACACAGATTGCAGAAGTAAGGGTAAGACATTCTTCGCCATTCACCTTTGAAGAGTAAGTTGTTCTTTTTACTTCCTTAACTACTATCTATGGGGTGCTTTTTACCCTAAGGATGCTTCCTTTGTGATATTACATACATAAAAATCCTCTTTTAGCTAGCATGAGTGATTTTCAATATTTAGCTCTGCTGGAGAGCACAACTCCACTACTTAACACAGCAGTTTTAGAACTACTACTGCTTACAACAATCTATGGTATCAGTGGCCAATTCATACACTGTGAAGAATAAACTAATTTCTTACGTCTGACAGCAAGATAGCATCTTGAAAACTTCTAGATGAGTTATTTTCAGTATGAAGTCTGTAAAGTAGGGGAGTGGGGGTGGAAATCAGTGTTACAGACCTGTTTCTGGCTTGGACTTCCCAGAAGCAACACGCTTTAATTGGAACTGTGCAGATCTTTCAGCTGAGGATGCTGGCATTGAGTTAATGAAAAAATCTGCTACTGTCAACAAAAATTCCATACTGGCACATACATACAGCTTGTCAAGGACAGCAACGAGTTCAGTTCCATTTTTATCCTGCTTGTAGCTTATATCTATCATAGAACTGTCATTTGTGTCATCTTTCTTGTCTATCATTCTGGAAAACATTTAATAAAAAGTATTTCAAACATTGTAACACATACATCTACAAAAATGAGGATGTGTAAGTAGTGCCATGTTTTCTCCCTATGCCATTTATAAACAAGAATTACAACATAAGCAATCAGTGTTTCCTGCAGAAATAAGAGGGTATACTCTTCTGTTAGAGAAGCCTAATCTCAATTTAAAATTTGTGTGCTACAGTTTTGGATTACATATGCAGCGTGTAACCATCAAACTCAAGTTTCAGTGCATAGAACTCGCTAGCTGAGGCTAGTTGCTCAAGTAGAGACTTGGCTGTTCTACACAGTTTACTGTAATACTCAAGCCTCCCAGGTATTTTTGTTTTGTTTTGGATAACCTGGGAAGTCAACATATAAAAGAAACTTGCTTAACATTATTAAAATAATATCATTCATTGCTTTAGTGCACAGTATGACAGGCAACAACTGACAGCCCTACTAAATTTTATCAATCCTATGTGAAGCAAAGTATAGAACAAGGAAACAGTCTTCCTCACAAGTTGCACAGAGTTTTTAATTTCTATGCACTCAAACTTACCTTGCAGTCACATTCTGAATTCCTTCTCTGAGATCATCCAGGGTACATGTCTTGAGTTTAACATTAATATCCATTGAGCCATCTGAAAACATCTTCCCCGATGATGCCATGAGATGCAGTCGGAGTTCACCAAGGCGTAATTTGTCAGTATGCAGCGAAAGCAGAGACTTCTACAAAATGAGAAATAGTAGGACTAGTTACCACAGCAGAAAGTAATAAGCACGTTTCCCTTGCTGCTAGCCACGTGCATTTTGAACCACGAACTGAAGGATCTGATTAGCCTGTCGCTGTCATCAGTCCTCCAATCATACAAATCACTTCAAGAACCTCACTGAGAAAACAGAGAAGACAAGTTGGGTTGTAGTAAAGTTGTTTCTTCACTGCATTTCTACAGCTGTTCAGAATGTGTGACAGAAGAATAATCCATCTCAACTCTGAACTTCCTACAGAAGATTCCTCTGCTCCCATCACACTAGCTCATTTACAGCCAGGACCTCAGCAATAAGTGGAAAGGATATGAAGAAGAAATTAAATAAAATCCCATTATAGTATGTTTCTTCCTGTGATGCTCATTTCAGAAGAACTTTTTCAAATTATACACCCCTCATACAAAAAGCACTACCAATTCCTGCGTTACAGCTATTTTAAATACAAAGCTGCCACACATTGGCTATATACCAGGACTTACAAAGCAAGAACCTTCACATCTGAACAAAGCATATTAAGTCATAAAAACAAAGTAGCATTGCACATCTTTCTCTTCGGTTTTCAGCACAGGAATGATGTTCATTATTGCTCACACTCAGGGATATGTAAGAGGGAAGTACAAGCCATGTACACCTTGGATCTGCTTACTAACTATACAGGCACCATGCATCGAACTAGGATGATCTAGGCTAGCAATTCCTGGGTTTCAAATTTTCATTTTTATTTTGGATAACTGGAATCAAGGCTTGAATGACCAAATCAAATGGTGGGTCATTTTGGATGGCTAGTGGTTTTTTGGGGTTTATTTGGTTTTTTAGTGTGATTTTTAGAAATGCACTTATAACCTTCAAATTAAGGACATTCTCTGCCCATAAAATGTCAAGGTTCCAGGATAAATTGCATAAGCTCCGTAAGGCAAGCATTACAAAGCCAACACAACCAATGACACTCTTCATTTTACTGTCCTTGGTTCTGTCCATGTGAGAGGCCCAAGCTCCCCACCCCATCTGTATGGTAAAAACATTGTCACAAACCTGATTCGTATCACTGTTGTAGAGAGTTACTGAAAGTGACTCAAAATTAAAGTCAAATTTAAGTGTCGTATAACATTCCACAGAAGACTGAACTGTAGAAACATTTTTTTGTCCAAAAGCAAGAAGAGGACCTGCCAGTGAAAAGAAAATATTTTTACATTTCTTTAGAACACTGGGCTTGTGGGTGGTTTTCTGGGTTTGGGGTTGGTTTTGGGGGTTTTTTTGGTTGGTTGGGTTGGGGGGTTTTTTTGTTGGTTTTTTTTTTAAATTAAAATCAGAAAGTCACAAAAAGAAGAAAAGCTCTAAATCCAGAAGACTAACTCAGAACAATTTGCATTTTTATTTACTCAGTATCACTTTGTTCTATTCAATGCATGCTAAAATCACCTAGCACAGAGTGGTTTAAGAACCTTTAAGAAAAGCTGCCATTAATTTATTGCAGTTCTTCATTTGTTTCAATGAAGAACTACAGGAAGTACCAAGATTGCTCAAGGAGTTTGCACTACTCTTCCTTCCAATTTCTTCTCATAGTACAGCAATTCAACTATTGGCCGAACAGTAATTTTTTTGATATTGAGAATGTTAAGTTTTGGACAAAAAAAGATTTTGGCAATGCGTTAGCAATACTTCATCCAGAGACATACACTGTTTACATTACACACTATTTGAATGCTAATAATATCCTCAATTGTTGTAATTGTGCATTAACATTCTGGGGTAGTTGATTTGGCATTTTTTTTTTTTTTAAACCACCCACAACTTGTAAGACTCATTCATATAGACCGAAGAATACCATACTATAAGAGGTGAATTGCAAAAAATACACTATAATAAAAACTTTTGACATCAACACTCCATGCATGTGCATACATTCTTAAACTTTTCTTGTAAACAATACATATGTAACAATTAAGAAGAACTTATTTACACACATTTAAGTGCTTCAGATAAATATATTTGAATTTGCAAATAGCTCTCTGCCTAAACACATTCAGCTTTTGAATTGAACTTACCCTCACAGAAATCAGATTCATTTGCAGCTTTCCCTTTTTTAAGTATCTGTGTATCTTCAATGATCTCTTGCACAGTATCTGGCTGGGAAGAAGCCCCTCCAAGGTTTTCCAGTAAAATTTTCATGACAACAGTTAGATCATCTTCACTGAGTGCAATCTGTAAAGTGATACACCCACAACTTCATTTTTGGTGACAGTATTTCTTTCCTGCACAGAACCCTATTTTTATCAATAGTATGCAAATGTTGAAAAGAAACAACATGCTGCTTTCACCATAAACAAGCTGTCTAGTCAAAATGATCCTGGCCAAAACACCCTAAATAATTTGCCCATTTTTCCTAAAATATCATTTGTTACTTGTTATGAACAGGAGTTAAAACAAGAACTGACACTCCGCATGACAAACACTTTCTAGTTTTGTAAAGGCTTTTCACCTGCTAAAAACAGGAGTAATTGATGATCATAAGCACTTCTTAACAATTCAGTAATCCAGAAACATAACCAGGTAACATTAAAGCCAAGATTTACATTGTATACAACTAAAGCAACTGTCATTCAGTAGGCCCTTAAAGAGTTAATGAATCTGAATCCAATTATAACCTAACATGATCATAAAAAAAAATAAGCAGTAATAAGTGACAAAATGCAGTCACTTAGCCCATAATACAGAGTGTTAGAATATTTTTTCTACATTTAATTTTTTTTACTTGTACTCCTTCAGTATCTTATTCCACTGTTCTTCATCAGTGCTACATTTGGCCACAGCACAGATACAGGAAAGAAATAGGGCTCATGAACAACTAAAAGGCTCCCCAGTCTGTTTTTAACCCACTTAAAACCATATTGTTAATGTAGGAAAAGAGAAAGTAAAGCACCCCCTCTGCAAAGGTATCAACCATAATTTTGAACTGTTGTATATTAGAGATCCACACTTCCCTTTTAATTTCTAATAAATCTACTAAACACTCAAATAACCTAAATATCACAGATTAAACAATTTAAAATCTTAAATCTAGATTTTATAAGCTAATTCAACAAATAATCTCAAGGACTTTACTGACTGTTGAGTCAAAAGATAGCTCCAACATACCCCCAGAAAAATAAAAATAGGTTTTATTCCATTCATATGAAGCTACACCAAAACTATTCATTATACAATATCAAAACTCTAACAGATCTAACATTCTGTAAAAAAATACAAATTGCAACAAGTTTACAAGCTCCTTAAGTAAGCTAAATACTATTCTGAGAATATACGTAGCTTCTGATGTAGCTTTGATTTGCCATGATATTACCTGCATTGGTTTTAGGTCTCCTTTGATACCAATTGTTGGGGTTTTATGATACCAAGTTGCTGCTAAATTTCTCTGGACCAGTAAAGTCAAACTCACAGGACACAGAATTTCAGAATCTGGTTGAGAATCTGTGGATATAATGCACCTACAAAAGACAGTGGAAGCAGCAGAGGAAAAATATTTAGTAGTTGCAGAATCCCAAATAATATCATACTAATCTAGCAGAACTATGGCTATAATTATTTTAAAATGAATAATAATGTATGCTTACATGCACTTATGCCCAGGTACGCACTTAAGATGAACTCAGTTACTGTCCTATCATTCCTTTCTTTCCAGGAAGTTTTAAAGATTGTGGACACATGTCCCTATCTTAAAGCACGCCTAAACTTAGTTTGGGGGGATGGGGGGTTTGGTTTTAGAATGCTTTCATCGCCTGTTAAATAATAGAACAACGCTGCCTACGGAACATGGACCCATTTCCTTTACGAACGCCTTTCAACTCAGAAGAAAACTCCATGTATACCTTGATAATTTCAAATGAGTTAGCTGCACATCCATGCTGTCAATGACTGGAGGAAGAGAAGATTCATCTGAAGACACCAGCTTGAATTCATTCTGAACTCTGATTAAGCCAAGATCAGCTACCAAAGCATTATATGAAGTTGAAGATTCAGGAACAACTATAACTGGAGCTTTCAAGTTGACATCCATTAAGAGGCGGAAGCTCTTTTTAGCAAAGTCTTTCATGCTAGAAGCAGCCATTTCTGCTGCCTGGACAGTGACTGCAGTCAGGGCTTCTTGTGCCATTTGGAAATTGTTTAGGAAGTTCTGTTGATAGGTGGTGAAAAAAGTCAGAGTTCTGTGAGAGCAAATAAGCCTTGCAAAAAAGGCAAGCCTCAGGCAAAATGTAAATTTAAGAAAAATAGTACAGCTGTGGCAAAAATATTAAACTCCTAATTCAACCATGCAAGTTTCAAAAGAGAAAAAGGATAAAATAATGCACAAGCTAAGATACTGCTTACCTATTCAATTTTTAAAGATATTATTAAAGCTATCAACTCAATTCATTACTTGTTTTGTCATCCTTCTTATTTGTCATTCTTCTATAACACAGTGCAACTTAAGTAACACTTCTTCAGCAAAACACTTTTGTATGTTTGTACATCAGCTCACCGCAAGGTACAGGTCACAAAGAGCTGATTACATTTTATTTTATTAAAAAACGTTTTAGGTCAAGAAAAGAAACGAAACTAGTGTCTTACCAAGAGAGACATAAAGAATTTATGTAGGTAAATTATTTGGATGCAGCCCACTTTCAGAGACATTTTACCATCCACCCTTGACATATCAGCATAGGCTTCCCCTGCAGTAGCATCTGGATAAAGTGACATGTGAAATCTAAACACTTCATCTCCCATTATGGAAACAGCCTAGAAGATTAAGTCCATATAGTTAATACTCCCAGGAAGTAATCTGTGATAGAATTATTGCTTAAGTTATCAAATAAATATTTCCACAAAAACATCAACTGCAACTTATCAGCAATACATGGACACATATATGCTAGGCACAAAAGGAAATTGAAACAGCTATTTTACAGTATGTCTCTTCTCACTTGGTTATCTATAGTCCATTTTATATTTAACCCATGTTACTCAGAATTAACTACATCAATGCAAACATGAATAAAAAGAATTAAATATTGAATGGAAGCATGTTTTGCTTCCCTGAGATAAAGGAAATTAACCAAAGAAATTTTGCTTAATATTTGGTACATTACATCAGACTTAGTATTTTCCAACACAGCAAATCAACCACAGTTCTGTCATTAAATAACTTAAAGAACTAGGTCTTTTTGTTTGTTTACAATCTGCACAACACATCACCTTTTTATGGATTGTTTTTGGATCAACATTTGTAATTACAATGTCCTCAAGTCTGGAGAACACTTTAATCTTTTTAGTTTTCATAGCTACAGATGCATCCATTCCTGATTTGAGACAAAAGGAAGAAGATAGTAATTTGTTAACATGCATTTATTAAGTAAACACTTTTTAAAAAAGAAGCATTATTTATTACTGAATATAAAGAATAAGAATAGCTTAGAATCCAGCATTCCACTATGTAATAACCAATGCTAAGCCCAAGACAGGAGTCATGACTTTTACTACACGTTGGCAAATTTGCCAACATAAATTGACTCTGAGACTAGAGTGAAAACTCCCAACACTATCTAGGATCTATCTGTTAAAAAACAGATAGCCTGTGTTATTTATAACATAGTGCCTTCATTTCTTTTAAGTTTACTCCACTTAGAAAATAATTGCCTTCTGTTTCCGAGTCAAGTATTTTCTTCCCTCACAGGCATTTTGGCTATTAAAATACTTATCATATACTTAATCATATCATACAATCAAAATGTATTCAAACATATGTTACAGAGACATCTATAGTGCACACACTAGCCTTTCAGAAGTAAATGAGCAGAGGGGAATAACACGTTTCTTGCATATTTCTTCTGATATTTAAAGAAAAACCCCTTACCTTGTATTCTAATGTCTGCAATTCTACAGGTCTGATCACACACTGTAATACTGAATGCACTTAGCTTTGCAGTGAGTTTTAATTCACAGATATCATCATGGGCTGCATTACTAGACACTGGACAGGAAACACAAGAGACATACAAGAACTTCATTATAAGTCAATTTTTTCAAATACATGTTAGATTATTTGTTTTGTACATATATATCATAGAATATGATATATGTACCCATATATCCAACCCAATGCTTTGGGTTGGAAGGGACCTTTAGAGGTCATCTAGCCTAACCCCCCTGCAATAAGCAGGGACACCTTCAGCTAGATCAGGCTGCTCAGAGCGCCATCCAACCTGACCTTGAATGTTGCCAGG